GCCACTCTTCTTTGAAATAAGAGATATTGTCCAGTGTCATGAAGCCTTGTCATAAATCTCAGAGTTTAATATAATTTGAAAAGTGATAAAAATAGTACTGCGTTCCTTTAACAGTGGTTTCAATCTCTCACTACTTTTAATCATATGGATAACTTTTATTTATGTACTGTTATGTAACCCCTTTGTATTGCCTTTCTCTGATGACCTTCCAAACCATGTTTAAAGATAGCATAAATATTTTTCAGCAACTAGTCAGAATGGATCATTTTATACTTCTCATGAACATAGGATGGCCAAATCATAGAACTGCACTCATATCACTCATATCAATCATATGCAATCATAGTCAGGTGTTCTTTGGATGCCTTGCTATATACAAAACCTTTCAATTATAATCTGTGGTATTTGGATGATGTCCAAAACAGTGTATTAGAAATATTTTCTTTTAAGTATTTTAGAAACATGATGTGACTTGAGAGTTTCACAACTCAAGTATTGGGATACATTCATTTCAAGTACAGTACATTTTAGATTGTAATAGTGTTTGGTTGCATATCTCTATGAGGTGTGTTTCCTGTTCATGGGTAGTTCAGTGACTTCAGACATTTAAACACTTCTATCTCTCCAGTAAATATTTATCTTGCTCCCATCTGTCCATAAAATGTTAAACCAAAACACTTATGCCATATCATATTTTATTTCTTAGCTAATCTGTCCATTTCTAATGGTGCTAATGAGAAGTTTATGTCTTGTGCTGTAGGCTAACAGAGCTAATGTATCAATTTTCTGCAAAATGTGGTTGTTAATCCCTTTTAAAATGCAGTCTGGAGGTTGTTTGTGATTTTACCGATAGTTTTTTTTTATAGTTGTTTAAACGCTGTCTGGTTTTCATTAAAAGAAAGTTCTTTGGTTTTTTATTTGACTTTTGACTTCAAAATTTCAAATTGATGTCAAAGCAGGATAGATTGTCAGTCGGATGTTTATAGCTTTTTCCATTGGTGCCAAATTACCCAATGACAAATGACAAATGACAAATGACAGAGACATCTGTCAGTCAGTTGTTCCAATACATTTTCTTCTTTAAAATTAAGAAGGTTCAACACTATTAATGAAATTTATCTAAAATGGTAGAACTAACTAATTACTTAATTCAAAATAAAATATTGGTTTCACTTATCTGGCTTGTTGTTGATGAGAAATTATTATTATTATTCACATCTAAATCCCAATTTAGACTTCATTGTCCCAGTACATTTTGAAGGCAATTTATATATATCGCTTAGGAGAGATTGGAGAGATAGGAGACCCCTTGTCCGGGGTGACTTTAATGATATGAAAACTTTAATTGTTTAAGCAGAAGTAACAATTGTACAAGTATAATAAGGTAAATATGGTACTATAGTATGGTACTAAACCTAGCACAATCAGGTAGAACAAAATACAAATGCCACACACACAAAATGAAGTAAGCAAAACTACAGATATATGGACATACAGTAACAATGCATCATTCTGATTTCTGTTGGTGGACAATTGCACTTTTTAAGTAAGTAAAAAAAAGTATTTAATGTAATGTTTTTAAATGTCTATATGCCTAAAACTGTGCTTGTGAATTTTTATTTTATATGTCTCTTAAGGTCTAATAAGTACCCTTTTCATTTATTGTTATTTCTTTGATTTTTTAAAACAAAATCATTGTCACTCTTCTGTCCTACTGTATTTTGGGCCCTCCAGTTTCACTTACACATTTTATGGTTTCATATAGCAGGTTAAAATGCTGAGAGAAGTCTTAAGCCATGACCTGATGGTGAAAATGTTTGTAATGTGAATTCTCGAGAAGCTGGTGCCTGGACTCATTTTTATCAGAAAATCAATAGTACACTTAACATGCTGGGAGTTTGTGGCAAGCATCTTAGATTTCACACTACTAGAAGAAAACCTATTTTAAATTATTAAAACAATTATTTATCTTTATTAGTCTTCCTGGATTTCACTGCTGAATCTAAAAAGAAATCTAACTGCAGAACCACTTCAACATAATTGATTAAAAATATGAATTTATAAAACACTAGAGAAAATAGGATTGTTTTAGCTATCTTTCTGATACAGTATATAGTGTTCATATTATTTTGAGTGGTGGGTATATCAGGCTACAAGTTAACGTTTGCTAAAAATACTAATTATCATAGTAGCACACAGTGTTGTTGTTTTTATCCTGAGCATCCTAAAGCACTTCACATGTAGAAGAGGACTTGCATTATTCACCACTAAAGTGCCGAAAAATAATAATAATTATAATTAATTGCTTACACTTATATAGTGCTTTTCTGGACACTCCACTCAAAGCGCTTTACAGGTAGTGGGGACTCCCCTCCACCACCACCAATGTGCAGCATCCACCTGGATGATGCGACAGCAGCCATAGTGCGCCAGAACGCTCACCACACACCAGCTATTAGTGGGGAGGAGAGCAGAGTAATGAAGCCAATTCATAGATGAGGATTATTAGGAGGCCATGATTGGTAAGGGCCAAAGGGACCATTGATTTGTCAGGGGCAATTTGTCAATTGCACTGACAAATAATTTTGTCAGTGCAATCAGAACCTCAGTGTATGGGAAGAAAAGCATGCGGGAGTTGAATTGAATTTCAAGGGTTATCTCCCCTATTGTTAGGAAGAGTGGATTTTTTATTTCATGTAGGTAGAACCTTGGTTTAACATGTTATCGTAAGGATATGGATAAGGCTCCTCATAAAATACAGTATCCCTTGTCGCCATTACTTTTGGAGTTTTTGGTTCAGGGGATGCTGAGCTTTCTACTGCAGATTTATTGCAAACTAATATTTCCTCAGCGATATCCAATTCAGGTATTGACGTGGGACTAGTATTGCTTAACCTCTGCAATATTACATGATCAGACAAATATTACTAAAATCTTTTGCAGTCTTTTATTTTTCATAATGTAATAGAGTATGCTATTTCCTTTTAGTCAGAAGACTACAAATTTCTTTTAGAAACAGTAAAATGAAGTTTGCAAAAATGTTTCACAAGACATACTTTTTTCCTCGTGTCTGTGTATTATTAGCATGAAAAGGGGGTAGAGAAAGAGGTTAGGGCAATAAACTAACTGTAAGAGGATGACAGTGATCAGGTATGCATAATTGCTTTTGTGAGGAAATCTTTTTAATGAAAATTCAAGGATTGACAGTGTATCTAGTCAGATAAAGTTAAGTAAATATGACAAAAAGACATAGACAACTAAAAAGGAACAGGTAAAAGTTTATTCCATGCTGAAAAGAAAAGCAGAAGAAGAGCCTAAAGGTTGTGTCTCTTTTCTTTTCAACATGGAATAAACATTTACCTGTTCCTTTGCAGCCTACATGCTGACGCAGCTACCTACTCAAACCAAAATAAAAGATTGGCTAATTGTGCCATATGTAGTACTGGATCAGATTGTTCAAGACTAATAGAGAAAGGGATTGTAGACAATTTAAAAACTATTGAACTTTTCATCTACAAGAGGAATCCCTGAGAAGTGCATTGGGCAAGAAATGTGTGCAGATTGCTTGCATCTCTAATGTAGTAATTCACATATTTTGGGTTCATTAACAAGACAATGACCAGGAGACATCAATAAGAAAATTACATTAGTCCCTTCTATTGTCAAGGAAGGCCAAGCATCATCTCGTACTGATCCTGACTAGAGCAAACAGATATATTTTCTGTGGTTATGAAAAGCATCTGCCTAACATGCATAACAAGACAAATAAAATCTCTCATTAATGGGTCAGTCCTAGTGTTTACAAGATACAGTCTGCTGAATTTGATATTTTACATTTACTCTTGTTTATCTGAAAGCACGATAATGAATTTTAAATTAAATCTGAAGCCTGGAAATTACTGAAGCTTTTTCCAAAAAAAGAAAATTGGTTGTCACATGGATATGAAAACAGGCCAGATGCTGTCTTTTTTCAGATAGAACACCTTCGAAATGGGGTGTTAGTTTGTTTCTTTCAAGTGGCCCTTAAGTGAAATAACATTTTGTTAGTTTCATGCTACAAAAATAGAGAGAAATACATATCCATCTGGTTGGTCTCTGTCTTGATTGAAAAATAATAACATTGTAAAGTTACTGATTGGATACCGTACAACATGGGATTTCAACAATATCATGGAATTATCAAGGCCATCTGGATACCTTGAATATCAGCTATTGCATTTTCTGTGGTTGTTATGGATCTAAATAGTGCATGTTTCTGACTGTTCTGTTTAATTTAAAATGATAAAACACTTGTCATGGAACATTGTGTCAACATATTTGGTATTAAGGGTTTTCCTATACCACTTCCATTTTAAAAAAATGCACATTGTTGTTCCTTGCTTTTGAATTACATCTTCATCTTCAAGTCATTGAGGAACATATCTTTTATAATTTTTTAGGTTAATGTTAAAAATAATTTGAACAATTATTTTTCTTTGTAAATTGGCTTTATATACACATACTATAGATGAGAAAAACAATACGGCTGTCTATATCTGAGTGCAAGATGACCCTAATTTATGCATGAAATGATCAGGAAATCTTGTGTTAAGCACTTTTTATTGTTAGTGAAAGATTGCATTTGACCACGCTAGGTAGATAAAATGATCATCTTGTTTCATACAGTATACATTGTGCTGTTAATTGGACTTCTTGTTGTGAAGCCCTTTTACAGATATATGCAATTAAGTTTTACATATTAGAATCTGGAAACATCTTCAAGAAAATTCAAGAAAAAACACATTGAAAAGAACATTTCCCAGCAAACTGTTTTTATTAAAAAATGTATGTTCTCAAAATGAAAGATCTGACAGAGACAGAGTTTTGTCTGTCTTTAAATGTACAACAGTTCTGTAGCTTGTTAGATAATCTGTAGAACTTTTCATGTTATATTTTTTCCTTTTCTTCTAAGACCTTTCAATCTGGCAGAGGTTAACTCACCATTTTAATTTTATTCTCAGAATCTTTTGGAGAAATCTGCTGAGAGAGAGACACGCCAGGAGTACGCTCTGGCCATGATCCAATGTAAAGTCCTGAAACAACTGGAGAATTTAGACCAGCAGAAATACGACGATGAAGACATCTCTGACGATATCAAATTTCTTTTAGAGAAGTTAGGTGAAAGTGTTCAGGACCTCAGGTATGATAAAGCTTTGATTACAGCTTGAATATAATATTTACTGGTTTCAGGATTGATTTGAAACTGTTTTTTTAGAAGATAGGTTTGTCTATTACATGTATGCCCTAAAACCCATATTTCTATAGATAGGTCTGACAGACCCTAACCTAAGACAAGGTGTTACCAAGACTGTACATGCACAAACTCTAGTGATCAATGGAAAATTAAAATCCAGGAGATGTCCAGTAGGCACAAAGCCTAATTACACCCTTATGAAACTGAATTTCTGAACCATTTACCAGTTTACCAATAATTTAGTCAGGCACACTGGGTGTGGCTATTTACAGGTAATTAGTGGCAGTATAGCGCCCTCTAGTGGCAGGTCAGCTGTAGCAGGTCCTCCACGGGGATGTTGTTATGTGGTAGAAGACTTGTGTGTTCCTGATGGCTCTCACATAGACAAGGAGAAACAAAGAAACTACTGCACACTGAACTGTCATCCTTTTTGGCAGGGGAATGTACTAATGCAGTCTTAGACTCGGTTGTCACACCCTACACTTTTAAATGGCATCCCTCAATTTTCATTTCCAATGCAAATTGGCAAAATTACCTTGTCCTTTCTGACCTTAACTCTATGCCTTGTGCATGAAAAACTTTAAATTTTGGAAATCACTCTTGGCAATGTGTAATATCCAGCACATTATTTCAGCAAATTAAAGATTATTTTGCATTACCATTAGATGTATTAAGTAGGTCCACCTCTTTGCTGTAGTAAATGTTATCATATAGTATTTTTTCAAATAGATCTTATTTTCAGAGCTTTTGTCACCTAAACTATGGAGTGCAAAACACAAATTATGAAAGAGAATTCAAAGTTTTTGAACAAAATTGTAACAAAATATTGTGATCAGTTTGATCAGCATGCGTATCTAAGACATTCTAACACAAATCTGCTTTTGCAACTTTTCAAATCTTTTCAAATCTGCCCTAGAATAGGTCATTTTGGGTTATTGAGAGGGATATTGTTTTCTAAACATGATTACTATAACTCACTTGAATACCTTTTAGTGTAAATGGTTTGTTTGTATAAAAAGGTTTTAATATTTTGCAACTGATGCTTGCAAGTAATTCTACCATTTCTGCTTGAAATATCTGCCTCTAATACTTATGCAACTGCTGAAGGGATCAGCTAAAGTGACTGAGAAGTTAATTCTGCCAGTTCATTTGTTATGTCTTGGAATACAAAATTAGGTTTGTGTCAGGATCTTGTATTTTAATAGCCAAGAATCTAGAGACCCCCAGCAAGAAGGAATGTAAAATGAAGTAATGATTCAGGACTTCCATGTAATTAACTTGCCTCAAGATATAATTCTGCAGAAATTGTGTGTATAGATTTTCCACAGTAATTACCTGTAAGTTTTTGAGCTAGGATAATTTTGCAAGGGTGGAATGCATTAAAAAGTGCATAAAAATAAAATATTTTCTGATGTTTCATTTATTGCTTTCATCTCCAGCTTAAAAATCATGTGTAATGCTTTAGTGCTGCAAAATTGATAACTATTTCACAAGATGACTTCTTATTTATTTTTGTAATTACTGTATATTCTGTTTTTCAGGTTTGATTGATTTGTATGTTTCCTTATTTTAGTCTTTTTAATGAATGTGCTCACATTTGTCTTAGCTGGAGTTATTGAAATGTAAAGTTCCTAAATGATTGCTCTTCCAAGCTCTGTTGAATATTTTGGTGAAAGATAACACCCATCATAAGCCTATTCTTGGCATGATCCTTGCCAGTAGAACACCTTACATTGTTTTATCTAAGATATTCAGACCTGAAATTAGGTCTAATGAACACTTAATCTTGAAATATTAGCTGGTAGATTATGAAGGAAAAAAAAATCTGAGAAACCTTAATGTTTTTTATACTCCAGGTTAAGTTTTCTATTTAGCTTTTAAAATGTTTCAGTACTCTATTTCTATTATATTTATCTTGTTAATGTATATAAGGTTTTTTATAATTTAAAGTCTTTTTTTACAGCTCATTTGATGAATACAGTTCTGAACTGAAGTCTGGCCGCTTGGAATGGAGCCCTGTACATAAATCAGAAAAGTTCTGGAGAGAGAATGCTGTCCGGTTAAATGAAAAGAATTATGAACTTTTAAAGTAAGCACTAACTCTTTTATTAACTACTTCATATTATAAGTGTAAAAGGGTTATCCTTCCAAACTATTTAAATACAAACGTATAGAAAGAAAATGAAAAAAATGTTAATTAATTTTGGTTCCAAGAAATTATTAGTTGTGAGATTTTCTATTTCAAGTTGACATTTCTCCTTGAGATTTCAGCTGAGGAAAGGAGAGGATTTTTCCTGCTGTTATATGAAATCACTATTCTCAAATTTGTAAGTGTGAAACCAAAATTAGTTTCACTGTACATGCTCTGCTTAATTTTATCCAAGTGCTTAAAGGATTGATCTTTTAATATGTTTTTTTAATTGGTAATTTGTATCTACATTCTTATTACAACAAGTGTGTAATTACAGTTGGTCACAGGTGACACAAAAATGTCAACTTGAAATTCTTTATGAAATGCTTCAGGTTAAGACATCTTCAGAATTCTTTGGAATGCTATGTACAGTAGAATTTCTCAGTCCTTGAATTTGTGGGCTCCTGACTCTTCTGGTTTATATTCCAGGGATTGTGTACTGAGCCCAACCAAAATCTTTGTCTCAGGAGTTTTATCACCTGCTCTGTCTGATCCAGTAGCTTGTCACTGTCACCCTAATTTATCTTTCTCCTAAAAAAAATGACAAAACCTGTAAATTAATAAATAATTTAATTAA